ACACTTTAAATTAATATTTTTAGCCTTTTTCTTTCAACCCCCTAGGAGGGGTTGATGTCACCTTTACAATCTTAAATGGGAATGGGGGTCAAGTGGCACATCGTTTTAAAGGGCGTTTAATTGTCTTTTCAGTGGTATCCTACTTTGTTGCTTTTAGTCCAGAGGTTTCCGAATAATCGCGTGTCAAAGTTGCAGAAACAATTAAACATGCCTTCATTGAGATTTTAGTTTTCAGGCTAGTGTTTAAACATAATTTTAATTATATGTACTGCAATGGGTCTTCTTGTAGTACAAATGATTAGAAGATTAGGTGGCAACATGGACGTAGCCATTACTTTTTTCTAGGGGGGTCGAAATACTAATAAACAGAAAACATCATAAATATTAACTTTCTTTTCTCAAATTCGAATGAGGTGGCAACTTCCAGGGAGGCATGGGTGGCACCGTTTGAAGCTTTGTTTCGGGATTGGCAAAGTAACCTCAAAAAATTTACATCAGAAATAATCTAAAAAATAGTACCTACCTAGTTAATTTGCGTTTATTCGATGTCTTATCACTGAAATTCCACAAAATGCCTTGCTATTCTATCAACAAATTCTAAAAATACGTTGTTGTCTTAACAAAAAAAAATGTTCTGCAAATCTAAAAGATAGCTAAAAAACTTAAAACAGGAATATGACTATTCTTAATTCGCTTTTGCTTGTTGGACTGTTCAGTGATAACTTTTATTAAGTGCATAAAGTGTGAGAATGGTTTATTCTCTTCAAGGAAGAACTGAAATTATTTTCAATTATGGAGAGGTTGGAAGGTGCGCACGAAGAACGGCACTGGTTTTCAATGAATGAAATCAAAATCGTGAAGTAAGTCACAGATATGTGCTGGATTTGGTGGCAAAGTTCTCCGAAACTGGTTCGGTGAGTAATAGAAGAAGAAATCACCTACGAGTGCTGAATGAAGGAGCTCAAATTGAGGTTTTGGGATTATTTGCTGCAGAGCCCACCAGCTCCTTGGGGACAGTAGCACAACAGACAGGAATATCACACGAGACTGTAAGAAAAGCACTGAAAATGCATAAATTCCATCTATACAAAATGCAGATACTTCAAGAACTCTATGACGATGATTTTGATAGAAGAATAGAGTTTTGTGAAATCATGATTCGTCAAATCAACGCCAACTCTAACATTCTGCCGAATATCTGTTTTTCCGATGAATGCAGGAAATGTTAACAAACAAAATTGTCGATATTGGAGTGACGAAAACCCGCATATTTTTCGAGAAGGACATCCACAATATCTTCAAAAAGTTAATGTTTGGGCTGGTATTCTTAGAAATGTCATTATTGGCCCTTTATTTATTGAAGGAAACTGTGTGATCTTGTTGTGATTGAAGGAAAAGGTGATCTGTATCTTAATATGCTTCAAGAGACTATTGATCTTCTTATCACACAAGAGCTAGAAACTCAAATTGATGCAGAGGGTAATCCAGTTTTACAGGAGGATTTGTTAACATTCCAGCAGGTCGGTGCTCTACCTCATTATTTTCTTCCGGTCCGACAGTGACTAAACGAGAGATTTCCGGGTACATGGATTGGCAGTAAGGGACCAATTGAATAGCCTCCAAGATCACCTGATTTAACACCATTAGACTTCTTTCTTTGGGGACATCTTAAATCCATTGTTTATAAAACACAACCTACTGATATTGATGATCTGAAAATGCAAATGCCGGTCAATTCCCTGTGAAGTTTTCCGAAAGGTTAGAGAGGAGTTTAAAAACAGACTTTATTATTGTTTACAGAAAAATGGAAAACATTTTGAACAACTTATAAGGGCGTAAGTGGTGTAGTATGTAGGATCTTCTAATCATTTGTACTACAAGGAGATCCATTGCAATAATTTTTGTGTAAACGCTAGCCTGAAAACCAAAATTCCTTTGCAGGCATGTTTAACTATTCCTGCAACTTTCAAATGCGATTATTCGAAAGCCTCTGGACAAAAAGCAACAAAGTAGGATACCGCTGAAAAGAGAATTAAACTTAAAACGATGTGCCACTTGACCCCCATTCCTATTTAAGATTGTAAAGGTGACATCTACCCCTCCTAGGGGGTTGAAAGAAAAAGGCTAAAAATATTCATTTAAAGTATCCCCCTAACAAATAAAATTGACGTGTCTTTCCGATTTTTCATATTTTTAACTGCAAGAAATATATTAAGGGTGGGAAGTTTTAAAATTGACACAGTGTATATTAAATGCGAGGGTATAGCGCATAATTTAAAATACTTTAATTTTGTTTAATCTTTTTTGTTTTATTAAGGACTTCCTATACCTAAAATCGATATTTATTGGGATTCTTTTTTGAAAATATAACAAGACTTTGCTTTTCGCTCTTTCAATGGTGGGCATTCGACATTACAAGCGACATATGACATACCTATCTGCATTCTGGAGTAGAATAAAACTGAAAACTTATTAATCAACTCAATAAAGAATTATTTATACTTTGCGAATTAATAAATACGATTTCTTGCACAAGGATGCAACCGGAAATATTTATTATAAAACAGAAAATTAGAGGATAAAAATCGATTTATTAAAAATAACACAAAATCGATATAAAAATAACACAAAACACGAAAAACAAATGAAAAATGCTATGCAAATTCACTCATTACCCCGCCTAACTGCATCTAAACCATGATACAATAAATGAAAGATAAGATATTACCCTTGTTTATATATTCTTAAAGTTGATCAACCGACTAGACAAAATGTGCTGCCAACTGGAGGACAAATCGTGAACCTTTCGGGGCAGAGTCAAAAATATCGATTATTTTCGTTATTTTCCTCAGAGTAATGTAATAAAATAGCCCGGGTTTCTGCGAACTTTAATAGTGATCAGTTGATTAAGAAATTTAAACGAAACTTTTATTTTATTGTAAATTGTGGATTATTTTTGCCTGTTATTTTAAGAATTCTAAACCGTATTAACAAAGAAATTATTATTTCGATATGTTGGTACATTATTTATAATTATTTATGATAATGCTAATTGGCTGTTAATTAATATTTAAAAAAAAGTTACATACCTATTTTAATTTGATTTAATGCAGGTTTATAAAAGAATCATTTCATTTTTTTTAAAACATAAAACTTTTTTCATTTTTGGTGCCAACTAACTGGCATGGTATTGTTGGTATGGAAATTATAGCCAAGAAAGAAAAGAATTGGCTATAACTTGTAATTTTTCGAAAACAACATATTATACCTATATCGCTGAAAAGCTTAAAAATGGCGCTTTTTATGTCATGGCCAACTATGGTTTCCATTTAAAAAAAAAACATAATGTTTGTGTCATATGTCAAAAATGACAGGCTTTAGGAAAAAAAACTGAAAACGCAAACTCATTAGGTATGTGATTATCTACAACTTTTATCTGAAACTTTTTGTCTAAAATACCATATGATCGAATAAAAATGGCGTCAGCGATGGCTATGAAATGACAATCGATGATATTTCCCATATAATTTTACATATAAAATGACAGCGATCTTCATTTCATAGCCATCGTCGACCCGTTTTTATTCGATCATACGGTAGATTATAATGGAATTAGAGACAAGTTTTAAAATAGCCAAAATTTGTTTTTTTCGAAATATCTAGTAAGCCTTGAACTTCTCCGAAAAATCCGAAAGGCGCATATTTATGACCCTACAAAACTGCAATTATTCTTTCCCCATTTAACCGACTCTCTATCTCCAGTAGTTTCCGAGATACCCATAGAGAACATCGATCGTAGGAAACTCACCCTGTATATTATTTAGAAACTAATAGAAACTAACTGTTATTATTATTTGACTAGATTAATTTGATTAATAAGACTCGATTAATTTAATTTAAAATAAATTTGATCAGATTTTTTTTTCGTATATTCTTCTACCAGAAAACCAAAATTATATGACAACGCACTTTTCAACGAAGTTGAAGGAAGATATAGTGTATCTGTCACAATACTTAATAGAATTATTACAATTAGAAGAAAAACAAAAAGAAAATATACCCAAATACCTTATCTACAAAATGAACTAATATAATATCTTATAAAAACACTACACAACTACTTCTTGTATTCTACCCTGAAAAAATTATCAAACTTACTGTTTTTATTGGTCGCTTCAAAATTCAAAGTAACAAAAAATATTTTTCTGTAGTAAAAGACTGTGAAATACGCCCCGCCATCTGGTGCTTTACATCCATAAACGTCTTAGGTTGAGCTACTTTAAAAATTCATATACAAGGATATTACGCATGTAGTGAGCGGAGCTTAACTTAATTACTACCCGGGTGACGTCATGGACTCGGAGAACAGATTTCCGACCGCCAAGGATCTTATCTTTCGTTTATTGTATCATGATCTAAACGGAAAAGCGCGTCTGCGAGGTGACGTTACAACTTGAAACGCCCCGTTTTCGGTCACGTGGATATGTAGGCGTGGTCGCACATTAAGATAGTCAAATTATCTAGTATATTTTTAGAAATGTTGAAAAAATATTTTTGCTGGTGACTTTCAAATTATTCAATCGAAATACGTAGATGATGTTTCAAGTTGTTGCATGCAAATTATTCATTACTGAAATCGGTCCAACCTCAAATAAAGGAAAATTAAAATAACTTTGGATGCGCATCATGATACGACCACCAGCAAACTCCATAAGACGACGCATGGTGTCATTGATGACGTGCACCCAAAGTTGTTTTAATTTCATTAATTCATCATCTTTTTCTATCACTAGAAAATATCTTAGAATCACAGTTCGACAGCTATTGCCCGCATATTTTATATAGAAAAGAATAGGGTGAAAATCTTAAACCGAAACATAATACAGAGCTTTTTTGGAACGCTGGGTCACCTTGTATATTTTTATCTCCAAGCCAACATTTTTTTTAGAGAAATATTTTATTATTGCAATTATTAAACTCGCTATCTTTTCTTCATATAGGTTATCGTTTTAAATCATCCTGGGCAAATAGCAAATGGTTATACTCCAGTTTTGGATTGTCATACCGCTCATATTGCGTGCAAGTTCGCAGAAATCAAAGAAAAATGCGATCGTCGTACTGGTAAAACAACTGAAGAAAATCCGAAGTCGATCAAATCTGGGGACGCCGCCATAGTAAATTTGGTACCATCTAAGCCGATGTGTGTGGAATCTTTCCAGGTACCTATCTATGAATAATATCTATATTTTACCTTATCAATTAAAATTAATTGTATTATAGGAATTTCCACCTCTTGGGCGTTTCGCTGTTCGTGACATGCGCCAAACGGTCGCCGTGGGTGTTATAAAGCAAGTGAACTTTAAGGACACTGCTGGTAAAGTTACGAAGGCTGCCGAAAAAGCCCAAAAAAAGAAATAACTAGACTTAGCAAGGACTTCTACAGAAGGCCTCAAGAAAATCTTCATCAATAGTTTTTATTATTTTTCTAGACGTATGTTGTTAAATTATTTTCATCGAAAGGAGTTTAGAAGGAAAACTATTACCAAAGTAACTCCCCATTTTTTTTCATGACTCATTATTCAGGCTGCCAATAAATATGGCGGTCTGTGATTATTATGTTTCGATATTGTTATTTTTAATATTTTCTTTATCTTTAGTATTTAATTATTTAAAGTATAATATGAGATTAGTATTTAGTCTTTGGTGAATTCGTTAAATTGATGATGATGTACTTGATCATATATATATGTGCTTCAACTAATACTCTATAAAGTATATGAGTGTAAAGAGTGTTTTATTTTAAAATTATTCTCTTCCCCTTCACCTTATACAGGGTGGCGCACCTCATTCGCCTCGGTTTATTATATAAAAACGGAAAGATGTAGAAACAAAATATTTTGTGGGTATACAGGTCCCTTCCTAATACAGGAAATGATATTTTAAGGCTATCTACAAAATTTGCGACAATTATATAAAGTTGAAAATGCATATTTTTAGCTCTTGCTCCAAGCCTGGTTCTTCTATGAAAATGTTTTATATGAAATTTATTACTGGATTGGCTCAAGTAACTTGATATTCAAAGTATAGCATGCACCACTGAATTATTGGAAACCTGACAAACTGTCAAGAAACACGGCATGGCTACAAAAAATTACCGTTTCGAAATCGACTTTTCTGATTTTATCCTCTGGAAATGACTTCAATGTGAAATTTTGAATTGTTTTACTTTTACATATTGAATATCAAGTTACTTGAGCTAATCCAGCAATAAAATCCGTATAAAAATATTTTAGAGAAGACTCAAAATATGCCCTTTTCTACTTTTTCTTATTTCCGCTCCAAATTTTGCAGGTAGCCTTAAAATATCATTCTAAACATTTTTTTCAAATAACTTTTCCATATTTTGCCATCTAACCCCACTTTTCGCGTTTTCATAGCGGTTTTTTTAATTTGCCGCCATGATAGTGATCACGTGACTGATGTCATAATTTTTTAGGTTATTAAAGATGCAGGAGCGATCCACCAAACAAAATTTTCGGAAATCCTATAAATAAAAATTTTTCCCATATGTAGCCAACTGTATGGTGGACACTGTATATTAAATGAGAAGGGGCGCCTGGTGGCAAAAGTTTCTGTTTTTCTTTAGAAGGAAAAAATGTAGAGAACAAAATGATTAGAGAACAAAATGATGTTAGTATTTGGAAGTTGTAACAAGGCACAAAAAAATTCTACCTTGTTACGCAACAACGTTGTCGCATTATTCTTTAATTTACAATGTACACTTTAATTGAGCGTCCTAAAATATCTTTCATACTAAACATCATAATTTTACGTAAAACACAAATTACATATCTCCAGAAATATGCAGCATGTATTTAAGAAATCAAAACACACAAACATTAATTTAACGAAACGATTAAGACTGCAATCGAAACAGAGATCAGAATTTCTCGAAACGGCGTATTAACTGCTTCGACTTTCGATCAACGTGGAGCAATTGTTTCTTAGCCAAGGCGACTGGGATTTGTGTAGCACTGTTTATTAGCTTTCTTTGAAGGATAATATATCATTTTGTAAAAGATTTAAGTCAACAAGAAATTTGAATTTTGGAACTTCAGAAATCCATCTTCTATACTGTGCGTCGCGCCAGCGCGTCAGTCCATCACAGAGTTGCCAGGTCTACCGATTTTGTCTGTAACCTACCTATCTACCGATTTAAACAAAAGTCTAGCGATATGTTCAACTGCGTCTTTAGTCTTTACAATAAGTACTTTTAAAAATCTGACACATTTGGACTAAAAATTAAGCGACTATAGCGTAGTAAACCGTATAATCTGACATACGCAAATATTACCGTTTATTAAATTTTGTTTAGAAACTATAGGTCATCGTTCTGTCTTTGCCTCTAACCACCCGTGTTTGCCAATCGAATTTCTCATCAGTCGCTTTCGGAGTCCTGTCTGCAGTGATAAGCGTTTTTTTTTTTAATATTTCTCGACAGTGAATGACAACGAACAAGAAATAATTCTGAGCTCCTTCCTAATAGAGAAAGAAGAAATCACGATAAAGAATCGAAAGTTATGGGTTTACAATATTTGCAAAAATTTTACCTTTAGGAGGGAAATTCCACACATTATTACCATATTTAATTGAGGACGAAGTACCAAGCCGCGTAGAGTGAAATAAATTGCGTGTGACGTCAGCAGCACTAGCCGCATTGACCGAAAATCATTCTGGCCCAACAATGCTGGCCGCATTTTCGTCGATGCGATTCGTGCGGCTCTGGCTAGTGTACGCATCACCTTCATTGAAAGTAACAAACAATTTTTTTTTTTCGGTCGATGCGGCGCTTGCGGCTCTGATGGTCAGTGTGCGCGTACCTTTACTGAGACATTCTTATTATCCTTTATTATGTGTTGTATTGCCGGCATTTCCGAAGATGATATCTTTAGAAAATATTTTGTCATATTCATTACTAAGTTGAACCCGCATTTCTCCCCAAAAAAATAAACAAAGAATAAAATCAAGTTAAGAAACAAACTAAATACGGACAAATATTTGTGTGCTTCTTCTGTCTAAAAGATATATTAATAAAAAGAGAGTTGGGAGTTAACAGCTTTCCCATTAAAATGAAATTAATTCTACATATGAGTTAACCAACTTTGTACAAAGGTAAAAAGTAACTGATTCCCCTACTTATTAGTTTAAAATGTTTTTATTAATATATTAATATTATTTAAGTTAATAATAAGATTTTTTGATATTAACTAATATTATACCTAGCTATTTCTAATTATTTATATTTATTTTGTTTGTATTTTATTTGCGTATTCAATTCTAGGAACACATAGAAATTCTAGTTTTTTACTTAAATATTATATTTAATTTTGTTTGTGCAGTTTATTATACTTTTGATTTTGATTGATTATTTGAAATATCGATATTTGTTAACAAAAGAAAGTCGTAAAAATTATCTAATTATTTTATTTAATAAAGCTTCTGATTTATAATTAATAAAAGATCATCAAATAGGAAAGAAATAAATTTACTATTTAACAAATCTGGCAACCAGGGTTCGGAAAACTACATGTTACTTTTAAAAACTACATAAACTACATTACATGTAGTTAATGTAGTTTATGTAGAAGGTGTAGTTTATGTAACATATGTATGTAACTTTCAAATGTCAAAGGTTTGAGGTGTGGTTATAATAAGTTGAAGCTTTAGAAAACATATAATGTATTTAAGAAAACAGAAGAAATATGGCTTTAAATATAACTATTCACATCATATTATTTAGACTCCTCATACAAAGCAAAATTATTCATAATATCAATAGGTAGTTTATTAACGTAGTTTTCATGTAGTTAATGAACGGGCAAAGACGTAGTTTTTGAAGAAAAACTACACGTAGTTAATCAGGTAAACTACGTCTTAATTAACTACTTCCGAACTCTGCTGGCAACCCTGTTCTGCCACTCATTACTAAGTTTTTTCCCGAATTTGTTCTTTCGTCGAAGTTCCACCGCCGACGCGAAGCAGACGCTTATGGCAACTTATGGTCCCGCCCCTTCTCCCAGAAACGATCTTCTCACTCATCGTGTCACTTCTGATCAGTGGGGATCAGTGGAAGGGAAAACAGAGTTATAATATGTCTTTTTACACTGCAGGGTAGACGTGTGGGCAGCCGTGTCATCGTTTTTTATCGCATTGAGAATCTCCTATTGCCAATAGTAGCTTTACTAAACCCGTATGTGGGAAGGCAATATGCATAATTTAAAATTATTTTCAAATGTACGGGGTGTCCCAGAACTAAAATCCATACCAAAGTTATATTTTTTCTTATGGAACACCCGGTACTTTATTTCATTTTTGGATTGTAGGACATAAACTAAGGGTTTTATATGTCTAAAATTTTTGGTTTTTGAGATATTTAAATATGCATGCTGTAATAAAAAAGGTTTACTCTCTGTAGATTACTTTTCAGAATTAATTCTTGTGCTGCCTTTTAAGCTAGAGAAATAAAATTTACTAAAAAATATGATTGCTTCCTTAAATGTATGCAGGGGTATCAAAACCTGGCTGGTCTATTTTAAATATTTATTTTACATAAAAACTTCGTTATTTCAAATGCTGTATTTTTTAAGATAAGTCGAAGCAGATTTAAATGCTCTCCATATCAGGGTTTCCTGTACCAACCTGTACCTATCTGGCTCAGGTGCTTAGCAGTATAATTATTAAAGTCCTAAACGTTAATAAGGCGTTTCTATATATTGTTGCGGACCGGTGTGGACTCGGCCTAACCTAACAATATGGCCCGCCCTCGGATGACCTTAACATCGCCTAGACACCGTAATGATTTATTCGAAGATTCGAGAAGGATCGAGTCCCACTAGAATGGAGTAGTACATACGAGAACAATCGAAACCTTTTCTATGCACCTAACGATCTATGGACTATTCTAGAGACCTTTAGCGGTCGGTATAAAAGCCGGCGGCTGTGGCCTAGAGAGGGCAGTTATAAATCGACCAGTGGAGTTGACGCGCTAAAATTCAAAATAAATTCTTAGTTATAAATCGTAAATAGTTCTATAAGTCTTTTATCGTTATTGTTTTTGTTAATTAGTGTTAAATAAATAATGTTTAAATAAATTGTGACTTTCTATCCACACGGAACCGACGAAAAACATAACAATATGGTACCTATTCCGATTTCATCAGATCAGATTTCTAAGGAAAGAGTGCTAATACCGTATGATATAAAAAACTGCGTCAGCGATGGCTATGAAATGAAGATCGAAAATGTCATCGATCGTCATTTCCCAGCAAACTGGACGCCGTTTTGTTTTCGATCATACGGTACCTGTCTCTATATATTGTTATCCGAAAATGTGATTGTTTAACACCAACAAAAAATATGACGTTAATTAAAACCTTAAAAGATCTATCTATAAGATCTAAGATTAAAACTAATAAGAACCCAAGATAACAACCATCTATCAAAGAACAAAGTCAAAGAATATGAAACATACATATATGAAATCGAAATGATATTTGATATTACTATAGAAACGCCTTTAGATTTTTTACTACTCATCCAAAGTATGTCCAAAGCAGTCCAAAGTCCAAAGTACTCGTCATTGGCAACAGGGCCTATTTTACCATAAGGCCCGGGCCTTGGGCCTGGTAGTCTGGGGGGCCCGTTAAAGGTTGTAAAATATTCATAATTTCAAATGTAAATTTACACAGTAGAGAAAAAAAACAGTTACCTCTGATAAGGAAAATAGAAT